GTTAAGTGTTCGTTTGTTGTTCAATGAGGAAAAAGATTAGTTAATATTTTGTAAACAAAAATGGTATGCATTAGTAATGTTATCAAAGAATAAATTAAGTTTGATGCGGAGTCACGTACGGAACAGAAAAACGCATATTTTAGTTAATAATAAATAAATTAGTTACTCAATTAATAAATAAGTTAAATATAATTATTATATAAGGAAAATATAAGTTTCAGTAGTATACTTTTTTTTTAATAATTTTTTAGATATTACTAAAGATTTCCAGAAAGTTAAAAGATTGCACAATTATCATAGAGTCACACTAATTCATTAAACACAGTTTATGTATGATCACGCAAGGAAGTCACGCGCGGAAGTTACAAATTCATCAATTTCATGTAATTTTTTTTTTTAATAAATTGTTTGTGAGTATTTCAAATGAAATATTATATCTCTATAACTCATATTTGAAACATTTTTAATAAGAAATAGCTGTCATCAAATGAGGAGCCCATTTGCAAAGCGCGTCACAAAAGTCATAAAAATAAATATTTTGAGCTAACTTTATTTCCATATTCAATATACTGAAATCTATCATCTATTTAAATTTTTGGCCCTGAAAATGATGAAAGGTTACAACTTCTGTCCAACAATATCTTTTGTCCAAGATAATATGTATTTTTAGTTTACTCCAATATCGTCTGGAAATTCAATGACCCCTAAGAACATCATTAGAAAGATGTATCTACATCTGGTAATTTTTCTTCAATCAGGAAGAAATTCCTCCAGATATAATTACATCTGAAAAAAACGTATATGTAACTACATCTGGTTAAAATAACGATTTAATAATTCCACAAAACCCTGTAGTTATTTTTATTGTAACTGAAAAGATGTAACTACATCTGCGAAATCTTTATGTTGCACAGATGTTGCTATACTTAGATAATTAAAAAGATGTACCTACATCTGTAGTAATCATATATTTTTTATACAAATATTATTAGACATCAATAATCAATCAATTTTTGGAGTGATGTTATTATACCTCAGTGTATTTACAGATGTTTTTGGACAGATGTAGTCGTACCTTTTTATATTTACAGATGTTATTGGACAGATGTTATTAGACATAGCAAAAACTGATGTTGATACTCTGAAGCTTAAAAATTGACAAAAAAATAATCATCAATTTCTGTTAATGCGCAACTAAGAGTAGTTTAGTTTTTCGTTGTTTTATCAAAATCAGTTTACTCTGACTTTCAACATTTCTAGCTAGGGTGTGGTGTTAAGAAAATTATTGAATATTTTTCAAACTACTGCGACGTTAACACATAAAAAAAGTTAAATAATAAAATATATATATTACAAAATTCAGGTAGCCTAAAATATGAAAAAAATTATTTTATAGTTATTCTTTAAGAAAACCATAGTAATATGTATATTGCTCTAAGTCCCCAACATCTAATTGTAAAAACAAACAAAAATCATGCACAGAAATGGAAATGACAAAAGTTATTTATCATAAAAATATCTTGTTTTTTATAACCTTTAGTGTATTTAATGTAAATAATTCAACTTTAAATGAAGAAGATCTCACTCGTTTGTGGTCAACTTTAAATGAAAGCTTAAAAGATCACACTCGTTTGTGGTCAACTTTAAATGAAAGCTTAGAAGATCTCACTCGTTTGTGGTCAACTTTAAATGAAAGCTTAGAAGATTTCACTCGTTGCAAATTGAAAGTATAATTTTAATTTTATAATTTAAAGAAAGAAGCTTATACCCCCCTTCCTTCTCCTTCCACTCTTGAATTAAGCAAGGAACCAAGTTCTTTTGATATTTTGCTTTTAGATTATACTTTATACTACCTTTAAATTATTGAGTAGATTTAGGATAACACTTTCTATAAATTTTCATTGATTCTACTTATCACCACTATTTTTATCGAGTTTTAATTTACTAGGTGATATGCATAACGAAAATTTATTTCAAAATTTCTTAGATTTTCTATTAATAATTTAGTAAGCGAAAAGAAAATAAGCATAGAACTTTTCATAACAATGTTGTGAAAAGTTTTTTTGAAAAAGTTTTATAAAATCTTTTTTTCCATTTGTCCTTATATTTAATACTCTTCATGTTTTTTCAGGTGTAAACATCTTTTTACATAATAAATATTATAAAAATAAGCGAGATTTTAGAAATTTAAAAATAACCTTTATTGTTAAAATTTCGTAAAAAGTGTCGTTATCTATATCGAGGAGTCGTTCCCGTTTACTTTCAAGGTATATTTTTAACGAATATTTGCTAATAAATACTTTAATGACATTGCATTGACACTTTGCAATAGCAAAGAGAGGAAAGTATTTTTCTAAATTTTTTTTTAAATGAAAAAAAAAAGAAAAAAAGAAAGACAAATAAAAATTGATAGGAATAGGAGATTTAAAAAAAACTAATGAAAATATTAAAGAATGTAAAGTGAAGAAAAATATTAAATAAATAGAACAACTAAGAGCAAAGCTAATAGAAAAAATGTTCTTGAAATATTCGAAAATAAAAAACATTATTAAGTTATTAAAAGAAAACAAACAAACAAAAAAACAGTTTTTAAGTTTTATTAAGGTGGTATACTACTAAAAAAATACTGATTTTGGAGTAAAATGTCAAAATTTAATTTTGCCAAAATTTTCGACATCTGATCATTAAACGCTGTGTTATATCATTCATTCATTATCTCTCATGTCAGCTCATTCACTTTTTCCATTTTTTTGTTATTAGTCTGGCTTTTTTTAATAGTTATTGTTCGTATTTTTATAAGAAATATTTTGTTGTTTGTTTGTTTTTTGCTTTATTTGTTTATTTTATCAAAGTGTCCCTACAACAACTAGTTTTTAACTATACGAGTGACACAAAACCTAATTTTGTAAAATTATAAATAAATCTATTTTTTTTTCAACTATATGGTTAAATAAATGGATTAAACTAATACTATTTAAAAAATATTTGTTCATTGAATTCAATAAACGAACAATGGTCCCTCTCTATTTCCAATCATCATAAAAGCGTTTACGAAATATTGTATATATAATATTATCTCTTGATAATTCTTAATAATTATAATAGCCATTAAAACGTACGCGTATGTTACTACGTGAATACTAGCGTGTATATAGTTAATTCACCAAATTCACAACAGTACAAAAGATTCAGGGTCGCTCATGGACCCTCATTGTTGAATCAAGATTTGAGTCCCTCAAAAACAGTTCGTCAAAATGTTTTGATTACATAATTGTTGTTGTCATTTTAACAAATAATTTAAAAAAATATAATCTCGCGAATATTTACAAAAACCCTATCGAATTTTAATAATAACAAAGGAGTTTTTTTAGCGAACCCCATTAGGAACTAAATGTTTGCAGTATTTGTCTTTATGACATTTTTATTTGATTGTCCGGAATTTTTTATTGAATTTAAACATGAAACAGAATTTTTTTTATTTCATTATTTATTGTTTGAACAGCGAATTCAAGCTCCTTCATTTTTGATAAAATATTTTTTGCCTCAGCTTTGGCAGTTAATTCAAAATTTTTAACTTAAAGAAAAATTGTTAGTGATCTGAAAATAATTTTGTAAAGGTTTTTATTTGATTGTCCGGAATTTTTTATTGAATTTAAACATGAAACAGAATTTTTTTTATTTCATTATTTATTGTTTGAACAGCGAATTCAAGCTCTTTTATTTTTGATAAAATATTTTTTGCCTCAGCTTTGGCAGTTAATTCAACATTTTTAATTTAAAGAAAAATTGTTAGTGATCTGAAAATAATTTTGTAACATTAGGCCGGGTGAATAAAAAAAAGCAATTGCTTTTACTTAATAACCGGTCAGCTTTACATGAATAAAAATTTCAGCAATTTTGCTCAAACTTTTATTCACGTAAAGCTAAACGAATTTGCAGTAATTTGCTTAGCTTTACTTGAATTAAAAATTTGAGCGAGTTCGCAGAAAATTTTATTTACGTAAAGCTGAACAATAGGCCGAGTGAATAAAAAAAAGCAATGGTTTTTACTCATTAATTGGTCAGTTTTGCGTGAGTAAAAACTGCAACAATTTTGCACAAATTTTTATTCACGTAAAGTTAAGCAATTTACTCGTAAGGGTTATTTATTAGGAAATAGAGTACCTTCCCCTCTCCCACATGTAAAAACGATAAAGATTAAAACATGCTGCTTCAACACTTTTTTGTTTTTAACTAAAATAGAATGGTCAAATTATGTAAGACGATAAGAAAATGATTATAGTTTCGTGCGCGTATTTACTCTTTACTCGTATTAGGCCAGGTGAATGAAAAAAAGCAATTCCTTTTACTCAGCTTTTTTGGTGTAATTAGGCCGGGTGAATAAAAAAAAAAGCAAATGCTATTACTCAGTAATTGGTCAGCTTTACGTGAATAAAAATTTCACCAATTTTCTTTAAGTTTTTATTTACGTAAAGCTGACCAATTACTGAGTAATAGCATTTGCTTTTTTTTTATTCACCCGGCCTAATTACACCAAAAAAGCTGAGTAAAAGGAATTGCTTTTTTTTATTCACCCGGCCTAATACGAGTAAAGAGTAAATACGCGCACGAAACTATAATCATTTTCTTATCGTCTTACATAATTTGACCATTCTATTTTAGTTAAAAACAAAAAAGTGTTGAAGCAGCATGTTTTAATCTTTATCGTTTTTACATGTGGGAGAGGGGAAGGTACTCTATTTCCTAATAAATAACCCTTACGTAAGCTCGGAAGGGCTGCAAAATCAATGGTTTTATAGCGTACATATATTATGACAAATTTTCTGAATTTTCTACTAAAACGTTCACAATGTTAACACTCAACTCAACTAGATTACAATTTACTTCGAAATGGCAATGATTAAGGCAACGATAAAGATCAATATTTTAAAGTTATGGTATAAACGCTACATTTTTACTTTAAAAATTTTTAGTTGCAAATAAAATAAAAAAGAGTGAAATTAATCTCCTAAATCTATGATTTATTATATTTCCATAATCTTTTTCGTAACTCAAATAGAGAAAAATCTTGTTTTAAAATGACGCAATTTACAAATAATTCAATTACATTTTTTAAAATTAAGAAAAAAATATTCAAGATTATCTGATACTTTTTAAAAATAAAAAAGTAATAAAAAAATATATTGATTTTTAAATATAGACAACCCAGCATATTCGAACTTGATGTAGTCACTTAGTAATAATTCATAAGTAACATTGATTGGTCTCAATCATGCCAGCCTGTTTGGTGTGTTTCAAAACTAATACTCCATACATTCGTCATATACCAGCTAATGTGTTATTAAGAACCATTTCTAAAAACTAAAGGTGCAAAAACAAACAGTTAAAAATCGTTTTAATAAATATAAAAATAGTTTTTTTTGTTGGTAACATACATACCTACCTACATTAGTTGCAAAAAAAAAAACGATTTTTTCTTTGCGTTTTTTTGGATCAAAAAAACGTGTTTTTTTTTTGGCGGTTTTTTTTTTTTTTTTTTTGGTAATACTTACAGCAATTCTTTTTTTGACATCAATTTTGTAATAGTTTGTTTTATTCTAGTATATACTGAGTATACGATCATTATAAACACAATTACATTGCATAAATACCAATTTATATTATAGACAAAAATTAAATTACCTATAATTTAGTTATAAATCTAGGCATACAGTATGAAAATATTTATTTATCATGTTGCACTTTTTTAACTCTAGCGTTTATATACAATTTTATTTATACTTTATATATATAGTTTACATACAATTTATTTATACTTTGTATACAACAGATAGATAGTTTATATAATTTAGATAATAGATAATTTATACAATTGACAGTTACAATTTAGTTAATAGAAAGTTACAATTTAGATAATTTATACAATTTATTATACAATTTATACAAAGTTTATATAATTTATATACTTAAAAACTATAGTTGTTGAAAAGTACCATTTTAATTTTGATAAAGTAAGTATATTAGTATATCATACCACCCCAATTTAATATCAGACTTCAAATGTTCAAAGAAATAAGCAATCTATTATGATTGTTTATTTATTTAAGCATTTGTATATCTATATATTTTTATATAGTAACTTAGTCATTGTTTTTTATATTTATCAAAAAATATATATATTGTGAGTTGCCCCTTATAAAAAAAAAGTCCTGTATATTATGTATATATACTGTATATATATGTATATATACTTAATTTCCAAGAAAATTTAAAAACATCAATATGTTTTATTAGGTTTTAATGGTTAGGATTAGGCTTAGAGAATTTCTTTTTTTTGAGAGCACTTAGTCACAGTAAAAAGATGAGACTTAATTGAATGGCAAGTGACACGTTAATGAAATTTAGCGATTTCAGATCACGTTTTTACAAAAATTTTAGATGGCACAAGCGATGCATGCTCTTTAGAGCATTTATATATATATATATATATATATATATATATATATATATATATATATATATTATATATATATATATATATATATATATATATATATATATATATATATATATATATATATATATATATATATACACACACAAACAAATGGGCAACTAAGATTTTATTTCTACCCACTGTACAAAAAAAAACAAGAAGAAACCGCTCAATAATTTTATGTACTGAAACCTCTGCAACTTCCTTTTTTTTTATGACATCATCAGGGGGGATGTTAAGGCTGCCTTAACATTCCCTTTAGATAAAAAATCACAACTAAGTTTCTTTAATGTGCTTAAAGATCAATTTAGTTTGAATGATGAACTTTAAAGCTTCCAAAAAAAAAAAAAAACCCTTGCGGTTTTTTTCTGAAGAAAAGAACAAAAAAGCCAAAAAAACAAAGTCACATCTCTACATGCATACATAGATACATACATACATAGATACATACATATAAACATACATACATACATACATACATACATAAATACATACATACATACATACATACTTACATACATACATACATACATACATACATACATACATACATACATACATACATACATACATACATACATACATACATACAAACATACACTAAATTAGATTTGCTTCAAGTTTCAATTTTGATTGTTTTTAATATCGATATTAAGGATAATTGATATCAAAATTTATATATATACATATATATATATATACATATATATATATATATATATATATATATATATATATATATATATATATATATATATATATATATATATATATATATCTATTTCTATATATATATATATATACATATATATATATATATATATATATATATATATATATATATATATATATATATATATATATATATATATATATATATATATATATATATATATATATATATATATATATATATATATATATATATATTTCTATATATATCTATATAAAAAAAAATATATATAATATTTTAGCCCTTGCTAATAACCCCTGCTAGAACTATTATTTAGCTGGGGCCGGGCTTGTAAAATATCCCATATTTTGTCTTTGGCTGAGGCCAGTGGCCCTGGTTACTTCCTAGTCCATTATAGTATTTATAGAAAAAAAGAGAAACAATATTTCAATGATGTGACAATTGTTGATGGTTGGTGGCAAGAGAAGGTCCAACTATGTTTACAATGGGCTTTTGCACCTAGTCTAAAGAAAAAGAACATCATTCAAAGATTGGCTCTAGATATGGTAACAGCATTCCATACAAGGACAAATTAGAGACTTATAGAGATAAAGTTCAGAATTTGGAGTAAAAAAGTGGCAAGCATGATGCAACCTTGACGTAAAGAGATGCAACCATAGTAGCGAGAGATGCAACCTTAGCAGATGCTAATTTTGCAATCGATTTGATATATGGTTTCCAAGAAAGATCAGAAGCAACAGTTAATCCTATAAGACAAATGGTAGATGACTGATCAAGTACATTACTGTTTATAAATATAGGAAGATCTAGGTTATTGTGATAATAATAAGTTAAAAAAAATTGAGTTTCATCTGAGTTAAAGTTCACCAGCCACTGAGAGCCCCATGCTGCAGTGAAAGTGAGAGCTTTCTCAAGCTTAAATGCCCCCTTGAAGCAATCAGAGAGAGTTGGCACCTTATCAAGATGAGAATATATGGTAGTATCATCAGCGAACAATACCACCTTAAATGTGAGGTTTTTAGGGAGATCATTGATGTAAATTAAAAAGAATATAGAGCCAAGGATAGAACCTTGAGGAACCCCTGAAGTTACAGGAAATGAAGAAGAATGCTGTCCATCAAGGACAAAGTTTATTAAATTAAATAACTTTTAAGGTCTTACCTGATACACCATAGAAAGAGATCTTATGGAGAAGACTAGTACTTTAGAAATTACTACTTTAGAAATGTCGAGAGCAATAGCCAAAACTCTCCACATTTATCTAATGCACAATTAAACCTATTGGTCTTACCATTAACAAATCAGCAGTAGAATTGATGATCAGAAAGTAAGTTATAAAACTCTTAATTAAAAGTGAGAAAGTTATTAGACTCAAATTAAAAGATCAGAAAGTAAAATATTAGATTCAAGATGAGATATTAAGTGTTTGTTAATTAAAGACTCAAAAACCTTGCTTATGATAGTAAGAAGACTTATGGGATGGTAGTTAGATAAGTCAGATCCCTCCCCATAATTTTTAAAAATAGGGATAACAGAAGCCGCTTTCCAGTAGGGTAGAAATCAAGACTCTAATAAGCACTTGTTAAGAGTTTTGAAAGTATAGAAGACTGCTCTGGAGAACCCTTCTGCAAGACTATAACAGGTATGTTGTCTGGACCACAAGCTGAAGCAGTCTAACAAGGAAACCACTTTGGATACAGAAGCTGGAGTGATACAAATGTCAAACAAGGGATCAACCTGTTTGTCAGCTATATCAGGTAGTATGTGATAAGTGGAATCAAGAGATAAGAATGATGAAAAGTTCTTAGCAAATTAATTTAGCTTTTTTGAGGTAACAAAATCTAAACCATGCATAAGAAAGGTAGAATAACAGATTTGCTTTTATTATAGACACTGTTAAAGATTCTCCAGAAGTTTTAGGAGCCTAATTTTTTAGATGAAATACGAGATTTCAAGACCTGAGAATAGCAGAATGAATAATAAAAGAATGAGACTTGAATTGGAATCGTCTAGAGGGAAAAAAAGATTTCATACCAGTCTGAATCCAAGAAATTACATAAGGAGCACATTGGTCAGCAGGAAGACAAAAGATTTCTACCCAAGAGACACCACAAAGAAAATCACCAACGAGAACAATATTGGCTAAAGGATAAAGAGAAAGGGCTTGGTCAATTTGATTAGAAATAAAATTGAAAAGAGTGCAGTCTTGAGATAAAGATGAGCGATATAGAACAAAGAAAAAGGTGATAGAATGAAGTGGTGCTAAATGAAAGCACAATAAAAGATTGGTCTGTGTATTCAAACCTAGTTTCCAGACAAATGGGTGAATTCTTACAAATGCCCAGGCCAAGCGTGTGACTATTGGAGTCTTTACAAATTAAAGGAAGAGAACCATAAACACTAAAATCACAACATAAGACAGCTGAACTCAAAGTAATCTAACAAAGATCTTGTTGGTCTGGTGAACTTTGCAAGAGATAAGACCCAACAGGAAAGAAGTTATTTGGAAGACCACAAATATTAGTGAATGATAGATTTAGAGAACTTGGTGATGATGATGGTTTTTTGTATTTTGTAGTTTTTAGTACTTTTTTACTCATTTTTAGATTTGATAAAGAACTTGACTCAAGTCACAGATAATACACTATTCAGTACACTATTTAATAGTCCAAGCAATTGCCTTAAATTATTATTAATATTTTATTTTTGGTTTAAAATACTTAATATATGTAATAAATAACTGAAAACAAATAGATTTAATCAAAAAAATCAAAAACAAAATTTTTCTCAGAACAGCCAAAACGGTCTTATTTTGTTAGTTTTAAGATTATCTAAGTTTTAAGTCCATTTGCATTGTTGCTTCTCATTAACTTAAATTTTTAACTTCTTATTTGTTATATTATAAAAAATAATAAAATTTTCTATAACTATTTTAAAAACAATTTGGTTTATTAAGAAGATCAAACGCAGTGATTTAAAAACTTTAAATGCCTTTTTCTCAGAACAGCAAAAATGAACTTAAGTTTGTTTTGCAGTGATGATACAAAATAAAACTTATGATGATTGCAACTTTAATAAACTGTTGTTGTATGTGATAAATGTTAAATATGCAAGAAATTTATGCTTCTAAGATAACTTTGTTCTAAATATATACATTTTGTTCTTATGCAA